TTAGTTTAAGAAAGTGCTGCAGTCTTCTCCAGAGTGGCTGTCATTTTACGTCCTCACCAGCTGTGTTTGAATGGTCAAGTTTCTTTACTTTCTTGCTAGAATTTTGTATTGTCACAATTTTTTTATTTAAACTTCTGTGATAGGTATGTAGGGGTGTTTGACTGTGGCTTTCATTTGCATGTCCCTAATGGCGAAAGACATTAGACATCATTTCATATGCTTATTTTCCATCTGCACATCCTTTTTACTCAAACATCTCTTCCTGTCTTTTGTCCATTTTCTAATCAGATTGTTTACTTTTTTACTCCAAGTGTGGGAGTTCTTTACATGTTACCGATATTATGTCTATTGGATATGAGGTTTGCAAATATTTTCTCTCAGTCTCTAGCTTGTCTTTTCCTACTCTTAAAAGAACCTTTCACATAGCAAATGGTTTTAGTTTTCATGAAGTCTAGTTTATTTATTTTTCATCTTGTGGATCATCTCTCTCCTGGATAATTGCAGTAGGACCACTGTTATTTATTTTTTTAAGTAGGCCACACACCCAATGTGGGGCTTGAGCTTACGACCCTGAGATCAAGAGTTGCTTGTTCTACAGACTGAGCCATGCTAGTGCCCCAATAGATCCCGTTTTCTTGATTCTGCCCTTAACTACCAGTTGGCTGTTGTTAACAGAGCAGAATGATCTTTTTAAATGTAATTGCTTGCTCAAGATTCTCCACACTTCCCATGTCACTCAGAATAAAAGCTAGTCTTGACAATAGCTTACTATCTGGTACCTCATTATCTATCTGACCTCTTTTCTTACCGTTCTCTTCGGCTCTCAGTTCTGGTTACACTGGCTTCCTTGATAATAGTCTATCAGGCCAAGCAACCCTTGATCCAGGGCTCTAACCTCTTCTTTTTGTGTGGAAAATAGAACCTTAGCTGTAAACTTTCTTATTTCTCTCAGGTCTTACTGAAAAGGGATCTTTTTAGTAAAGGCTTCCATGATTTCCCATTTAACATAGAAATGACCCATTTCTTACAGACCCAAATTCAGTTTGTTTTATTTTTCTTCATGCTACTTGTCAATATCTAACCTACTACATATTTGATGTATTTGAAAAGATGACCTGTCTTGTCTTCCAGAATTAAACTCCTTGGGAGAAAATGCTTTTGTCTGTTTTGTTCATAACTATTCAACTGCAGGATCTAGAGAGCTTGTCACATAGTAGAGACTCAATAAGCATTTACAGAATGAAGAATGAAGAAATGAAGGAACGAGTAAAGTATGTCCCAGCGTGGAGAATCTGCACTGGTACCACTGGAATAATCTTTTCTGTTGTGAAGAGAGGTTTGCTTCCTTGAGAAATTCTGGATCTAGGAAACATGCCTTAAGAATCTTCCTTCTTCTAAATAAACAAACAAAAACAGAAACAGACCTATAAATATAGAGAACAAAGTGATGGCTATTAGAGGGGAGGGGCAAAATGGGCGTAGTGGGAAAAGAAGGGGATTGTCTTCCTTGGAATGAAGGGATTAGAACTCTTAATGAAATTTCAACTCCTGATGAAGTCATAATCATCAGGGCTTACTAATGCTAAATATTGAAAGGCTGATGGGATCGTTATGGTGGAGGGGCTAAGCTGACAGCACTGGAACCCACTGATCAATCTCAACATGGTTAAACATGGGACAACCTTATGTGCTTACTGTTGTGATTTAATCGGAAGGCACACAACACCACTTATAAAATAATCTTGCAATAACGAGAAACTGAATTGAAAACTAATTAATTTTCTAGATCTAACTGCCTGTTTGGAAGGAATTATGGGTAATATAAGAACATCTTAAATGACATCACAAGATACAACCAACCAACTCCATGCTGCAGAAAATACTACAGGATAAATGATTTAGTTTCTTCAACAAATAAATGCCCCCTAAAAGGTAGGAAGAGCTCTCACAGACTAAAAGACACATTGACCACATGCTGTGTGTGGATCTTGATTTATTTCTGTTTTTTAAAAAATGTTTATTTATTTATTTTTGAGGGGGGGGGTGGGGGGAAGGAGACCGACCCAAAGAGGCTCTGACATGGAGCTTGAACCCACAAACTCTATCATAACCTGAGCAGAAATCAGAAGTCAGATGCTTAACCAACTGAGCCACACAGATACCCCTGGATCTTGGTTTTAATGAATGAAGTATAAAAAAGACATTTGATATGATTAAGGGAATTGGAGTATGGCTTGGTTATGAAGTGATATAAAGAAATTGTGGTTAAATTTGTTCCATAAGATAATGATAGTGCTGGTTAAAAAAAAAACAACAATTGTCTATTGGATATAAATACTGCTGCATTTAGTGAGAGATGATATAATGTCTGAGATTTTCTTCAAAATACAGTACTCCCCAACCCCCTCACACTCCTCCAAACATTGAAACTAAAGGAATTGAACAAAAAGCTATGTGTGTGGTGTGAGGGAGGGGGTGTGGTGGATAGGACAAGAATGAGAGAATATTGATAATTGTTCATACTGGGTGATAGGTCCATGGCACCACATCCCTGTTGTGCAATTTCTTTTACTTTTTCTATGCTGGAAAATTTCTACCACAAAGTTTTTTTTTAAATTCCTTTTTGCACCTTCTTACCTAGGGATTCTCCAAGAAACAGGAAGATTGAATCTCATCAGCAAATTCTCACAAGGGGGTATTTGTCCTGTTTTCACTCTCCCTGCTTGGAGACTGATGTTCCACACGTCCTTTCAGATTTGGACTTGCCTTTGTCCAGTGGGGACTTCTGGGAGCCTGCCTCATTCCAGCACACCAGTACTCCCCCCGGATCACGGCCACTGCCCCGAAAGGGGGTGTCTCTCATTTTAGACTGGGATCAGAAGGATCCAGATGGGTTGCCGCTTATAACTGGTATACATTTCAGCCCACGAGCAGAGGTGTGCAAGAAATAGTATGAAATTGTTTTTGTAACTCCACTTAATTTGTATTTTAAGCCTGGATCCTGCTGAAGTCCTGTTTGGATTTCTACCCATCCCTCTTCAGAAATCATACAGAGCCACAGTCATGAGGGTTGAGGTGAGAGCATGATTACTGTTTAGGGGGGTATACACTTGTAGCTTAGAGGTCCAGTGGCTCAGTTGCCATGTTTCCTTTTGGTTTGGTGACTCTTGTGTCATGGGTGGGACAGGTTGGTTCTGCTCATATGTACAACACAGCCATCAACTCCGAGAGTTTTTGCCATATCTAACCCTCTGACCGCACTTTAGAGATTCCTTTTCTTCCATGGTCCACAGACCTCTCTGTGATGATATAGATCTTAAGCTAGCAGGAAAAGAAGACAGTAAGTGTATAATTTCAAAGTTCCTGCTTCTGATAGGTTTCTGCTCAAGTATCCTCACTTTTCTGTGGAGTTTGGGATTTTAGAAATAAAAGCCCAGATGATAAGCACAGTATTGCTGCTTTCAGCCCTGCACGTCTTTCCTCTGGCCAGTGAACCCAGAGCCTGCTTCCCACTTGAATGCAGAAGGGAAAGGGTAAAAAATAAAGGGAGAAAGGGAAAAAAAAAATCAACAAGAACAGATTCGCATCTCAAAATATCCTTTCACTCTTAAGAAGATGAGAGTTGAATTCACGGGAAAGGTTCCATTGGGAAAAAGGAATGACTCTTGAAAATGGGGTCTCCGCATTTGCAAAGGCTGTGTGGGATCCAGGTCCCCAGAATGCTCTGACATCATCAGTAAGGTCAGAGAACTCTGCTGTGGGCCTGGTGACCTTTGAACCTTAACAGCCCTGTGCTGTAGTGAACCCTGGGCAGTGCTGCTCACTCTCTGAGCCGTCTGACGTCCTCAGCCATTTAGGGGACTCACCTATTTTTGCTTATATTGGGCCATTTCATCATATTTTCTGAGAGTCAAGAAGGGCCAGCCAGCGAGGGAAAAGAAGAGCTGGGGGTTAGGTGTCTTCTAAGAAGCTTCTGTAGCTGGTACCATGAAACAGAGACAAAAGAGGAAACATCTGGAAGATGAAGAGTCCCAGGAAACGGCTGAGCAGGGAGGAGGTATGTGCTGGGCACCTTGTCTGGGGGTGGGGCACAGAGGCTGCAGCCAGTCTGCGCCTCCCCCAGGGAGGCGGGCAGCAGATGTTGCCGCGTCCGTCCTGAGGGTCCCCGGTGGTGTGAGATGGCACAGGAAGGCCAGATGCCCCCCAAAAGCCAGGGATTCATCCCTGCCAGTCTGAGAACTTCTCTCTTGGCCTGCTCAGGCCTGGAGCTATGCTGGACTCAGAGCAGGCTGGGGTCCCGCTTGCCCAGGCTCAGTCCTGTGTTCTCTTTTATCCTCTTTATGTGATTTTCCTCTGGGGTCCCTGGGTGTGGGGTGTGATGGGTGCTGATAGAGATCGACCCATCAAAGAGGAAAGAGAAGCCTTGCTCAAAAACATTTTGAGAAGTGACATGCCTGTGCAGAAGGAGATGGTCTAGGGATGGCATCATACCGAAAGTGTGGAGATCGTATTCCTTTAGCAGGAAGAATTTGCCAGTTGATCCATGGGAGTTTGTGAATCTACAGGTGTGGGCTTTCCAGAGGAGACCAAGGGAATGGAGGGGTCTTTTACAGACCATGCCCAGATGGAGGGGGGTGAGAAATGTAGTCAGGGACTTTCAGGGAGCTCCGAAAGCTGTGGATTTACTTCCTAGGGTGCATGGTGACTGCGTGCGTTTTACACAAACAAGTAGCTTGTCCTGAGAAAGTGGGTGGTCACATGCAAGAGGTGGGGCAGAGTGGAGCCCACCCCAGAGATCCAGCCGGAGGCTTCTGTCCCAAATTAGAGCTCTCTCATCAGCTTCCACGAGGTCCAGGGCCCTGAAGAGTGTAAGATGGGCCCTGGGAATGGAGGCCTGGACAGGAGGAGGATTTTGATGCAGCAGCTGGGATAGGACAGAGAAAGCAATGATTGGCAAGATACGTTTGTCTCTCTGTGTGTGATGGGGCAGGGGGAGCAATGGGGAGAAGGGGGAGAGTGTCCTTAGCTGTGAAGTCTGTCTTGTAAGGTTCCTGTCACTTACCCATATACATTCTGATAGAGAAAACAATTGCACGTCTGCACACACACTATTTTATTAAATTGTACAGAGCATATAGGCACATGTGCATATCACTCGTCCACTGTGTTCACATACGATCCATGTGTATCGAAGTCCTCTCCCGTTACACCAAACTCTGGAGTATAAGTGTATCACAGATACTCTATGGTACATACTTACACTAAAAATAAGCATGACCCAAATATTGCACGGGAACACTCGCAAATAAAAATTATTTGTGGTTTACCTGAAACGCAAATTTAACTGGGCGTCCTCCATTGTTGTTTGCTAACTCTGGGAATCCTTGTATACTTCACATCAGCTGACATATCATACCCTGATTAGTATCTGTCTTCTACCAGAACGTTCCACATTCCCAGAGCCTAGAAGAGTGCCTGATACATAGTAGCTGAACACTGTTGAAGGAATGGATAAATGAATGATTGAATACACACCATAAATACAGACCATATTACATAAATCAGGAAATGTGACAGGTCGCACGGTTCCTGAGTTGTGAACACACGCTATGCTCCAAACGCTCTATGCGTTTCTACCGTGCTCGCCACACCGTCCCCACAGGCGTGAAAGGTTTGACTGATACATGTTATTCTCACGTGTCAGACATGCTGTTCACAGCCACCACTCAGGCCTTCGCTTCTGACAAGACACTAACAAAATAGTTATCGATAGTAACTAAATGCAGGAGTATCCACCGGGGACCAGACGGTCGACCACGTGTATTCGCTGAACCTGACCCGGGTCAGACCCTCTGTTAATATTTGTTGGATGGATGAGTGATGCATTAGCATGCCCCACCCATGGTGTCTCAGGCTTTCCTATCTCTCTCAGGAGTCTCGAAGTCGCAGGAGGATGCCCTTCGGCTTGGATCCCCTGGGGTGGCCAAAGGCTGGGGCGCAGGGGTAGGGGAGGTGTCCTCTGCCTCTGAATACTTCTCCTGTGTTTCTTCTCCACGCAAGTTCATCCATGGTGGTAAGCGTTCAGGGCTCCTTGGATGTGGGGCCCCTTGGGTTCGGGGCTGGAGACACACAGATCCAGGAGAGGCTGGGAAGGCATCCAGGACAGTCAGAAGTGATCAGGGCTCAACGGAGGAGCCTGGGAAGATGGCGTAGCTGTTGGGAGAGTGTGGATACAAGCTCCATGTGGGGGAGCGTGAGCCCTGGTGCAATCATAGTGGGGAAGTTAAGATACAAGGGCCAGAAAGGTCCGAGCTCGAGCTGTCGGGCTGAGGGACAGAATTAAGCACCTTCAGAGGAGCTGTGCAGGCTTTGCCTTTATCCTTACTTCCAGAGAAGGGCGGAGCATCTCAGCACAGGCCTCTCCAGCTCTGGAGCAAGACCATCCAGTTCAGATCCCCACGCCTGACGCCCACCATTCACTCCATGCACGTCCATTCTTAGCACACACACCCCAAGCCCGTGATCTACAGTGCCATGTTCTCCACCACTGTCCCCATGCCACATGCACACGTACCCCGCTGGTAGCCCCAACTCAGGTTCTGCTCATGGCACGCGCAACCCACCACCGTCCCTCACGTTCTGCAGTGCCCTGCTACCTGACTCCACACCCCCACATACAGACGCCCCCCAGTCTCCCTACAAACACTCACAGCCTGCAGATGCCACCAGATACACCACCCCCCCCCCACCTCCCCGGAGTATGAACACCAACACCAAGCTGCTTACACCAAGAGCCCCTCTGCCCTCTACCACACTTGAAGCTCCTTCAGCTTCTGGTCGGCCCCACGCACGTTCTTATGTCTCTAATTTCCTTTCCCAGGAATCCGGAGAGTACATCGAGACAGTCCCCAGCCTAGATCACCCCTAGTCCAGGGTCAGGAGCGAGGGGAGACTGCTCCCCCCTCACACCAGGTCTCCTTCTCGTCCCCTTCATCCTATAAGACCTGTGTGTCCTCTGTGTACAGAAACAAAGAGGAAAGGGGCATGAAAATATACTACATGCAGGTACAAATGCAAAAGGGTGTGGCTGTCTCCTGGGAGACAGAGGAGACCTCGGAGTCACTAGAGAAGCAGCCGAGGATGGAAGAAGTGACCCTTCCTGAGAACGTGCGGGTAGGTACTCCCCCCTCTGATGTGTCCACCAGAAACCTGCTGTCTGACAGCGAGCCCAGCGGGGAGAACAAGGACCACGAGGAGCCGGCAGAGTCAGACAGCCTGCCAGGCTCACCCACTGTTGAGGAGAGACCCAGAGCCAAGACCCCCGACTGGCTGGTGACCGTGGAGACTGGCTTCCGATGCATGGCCTGCTGCCGGGTCTTCTCCACCTTGGAGGTCCTCCAGGAGCATGTCCAGTACGGGATCAGGGAGGGCTTCAGCTGCCATGTGTTCCACCTCACCATGGCTCAGTTGACGGGCATCGTGGAACCTGAGTGCACCCAGGAGGAGGAGGATGAGAACGAGGAGGAGGGGGAAGAGAAGCAGGAAGAAAAGGATGAGAAGGAGCAGCCCGCGCAGGAGGACCCTCGCGTGAAGCGACCCTGAAGCCAGTGCCCAGGCTGTGTGTTTCATTCTCCAAAGGACAACAAGTGAGCTGGGGCTGAGCGTGTGAGGGCTCTGTGCCTTCTCCACAACACTCCTGTCTCTCCCATCCAGGCTCACTCCTCCAGAACGGAGAGTGGGGAGCTTTGACAGCTCAGGGGACACCTTAAGGAGGGGGGGTGGGTGAGCGGGCCCCTTGCTTCTTGTCCAGGCATTTGATACAGTTATGAGTGTCAGTGGGGATTCATCCCGAGCTTTTCAGCTCCCGCAGGAAGTCCTGCAAATTTCCGAGGGCTAACCGAGCACCTTTCCTCTTGAACCAAGAAGTGTCTTTCTCTGTTCTGGTTTCCACACAGCAATTGAGATCTGTGAGCCATAAATTCCTGGAAGACGGTGTGGCCTTCTTTTGGGAGAAGTAAGTAAGGCCTGAGGTTGGTGTGGTCTGAGCTGATGTCAGGGGGTTCCAGGGGAATCTAGGGGAAGGAATTCCATGGCCACGTTGGGTTACCTTGTGGCTCCGCAGTGGCATCAGCTTGTGGCATACTCAGTGCATCCAGGAAATTGACCTCCATTTCCTTAAGTGAGAAAGTGAGAATTGAAAAAAAATTTTTTTTGAGTTTTTAAAATTTATTTTGAAAGAGAGAGGAGGTGGGAAGGGGCAGAGAGAGAGGGAAAGAGAGAGAGAGAGAGAGAGAGAGAGAGAGAGAATCTCAAGCAGGCTCCTCACCATCAGCACAGAGCCTGACACAGGGCTCGAACTCAGAAACCGTGAAAGCGTGACTTGAGCCAGAACCAAGAGTCGGATGCTCAACTGATGTAGCCACCCAGGTGCCCTGAGAAAGTGAGAGTTTTGATTGGCATTTATTTCATTGACTGCATGACTGACCTGAGCTCTAAGAGCAAATACTGCCAGCAGCCCTTCTGGGATGAGAGCTCATTGCAACTTCAAGGGCTAGGAGTGGTCTGGAGAGAGGACATGGGGCCTAGCAGGACCAGCGGTTTGAGGTGTGAGAGCCTTCGGCCAAAGCCAGCATCTTATCCCGGCCCATGGATGTAGCCCTCTGGAAGAAAGCAGAGTGTGGAGGGAGAGAAACAAGGAAGTGAGCCCCCAAGAGATCTGGGAATATTCCAGAACCTTCCGTTTGCTATAGTAGGTCTGGAAATAAAAAGTGTGGTGTGTGTGGCTCTGAGCTTTAAGGCAAAGGTGAAGGGTCACCCTGACTCATGGAGCTCACGTTCACTTCTTGTCTCTTCCTGTTCTGCCTTATGTGTTTAATCAATTCCAGGGAGAAGAAAGGATCCTGGGTATAGTAGCAGATAAAATGCCAATGATGTGAAGAAAGATGAAGGAACCGGCATTCAATCTGGCATCACATGAAAATATAAATACCATATGCAATAAAGGCTGTTTTCCAAACCTTACCTGGATATGTTCTTTAAGTGAAGTTATCTATCTGTCTGTCTGTCTATCTATCTACCATCTACATTTTTCCCTCTAGTGGCTCATGAACCAGGTCTCCTATAAGCACCAAAGACGCCCACAATCCTTTTCCAGCAGCAACAGTACTGAAGCACTCGGGATTGGTTAGGCTTTTGTGTGACTGTTTTCACAAGGCTGGATTCCACAAATGACAAATTACACTGGCTTCAGAAGAGGTCGTCGGTAAGTAGTGGGTGCTGTGAAAACTGTCCTATGGGTCGTGTTTGAAAGCACTGTGAAGGCAGTCTTCAGAGGGCTGCTGGCTGGTGTGCATATCTCCCCAGGTCTGGCCTGGATGAGGGTTTATGAGTTGTGGCTTCACAAGGAAACACCAGGACAGAGGAGAAATTTCTGAGTTTTGAAGCTGTCCATGGAACAGGTCCCTCTTGCATGGGTGAGACTTTGTCACAGTGCTCAGAAGAGGCCATCTAACCACACCCACCCGTTGTGTTTGCAGAGATAGTTGTAGCAAGAGTTTAAGCCAATAAGCTCTGATATTTTCAGTTCTGACATTAAATTTCCATTTCTAAATAAATTCTTCCTCTAGCCTCTCAAGTTTTTGAACTTTTCATCCCTGAACTTAATCTTCACAACACGGCTACCACCCCCTGGAACTAAAGACGTCTAGGAGGCCCTGAAGACTCATTTCGATGCATGAGGTTGTCCCTGGACTGCAGGTGAGGGGGTAGTTATGTGTCTTTCTAATCTGAGTAGGGGGGCAATGCCAGGCTTTAGAGAACAGATGGAATTAGAAGGAAATAATTCAACGTTCAGAGACTCTGTCCATTTAAGCAGGATAAGGTCTAATTCCAAAGTCTTATGGATTTTTTTTCGGAATGTTAAATGTGATTTCCATGGGGCTTTATTGAATCAACCATGGTTTCTGTGATCTGGCGTTGTCATTTTTATTTGAATAATAATGATAATGACAATAATAATAATAATAATAATAATAATAATAATAATAAACCAGTTTACTCACCGGTTTCATGTTTCTCAGCTTGTCCAATGGGGATGTCGTCTGCATATTCACATGTTTTGCCTCAAGATGCCCTGTTTCCCCTTTGACTGCCATTCCAGGAATTCAGAATTGGAGGCTCATCCTACCCTTCCGTACTCACACCACCGTCTGGGGGATTCCATTCCCTCTCTGACGGCGTCTGTGTGCTCTGTAACCTTCCCCTTTGTCTTGTTCCTTTGTTCCTCGAGCCCATCAGGAACATTCCCTTTCCACACCCCACACCCCCAGTCTTCCTGGGTCTTCATCATTTTCTTCTTTTCTTGGAAGGTTTTTTTGACTTCTCTCTTCCACTGACTGTTTCAAACACTGAGAGCTTATTTCACATAACTCGGTGGGATGCTGTTGACACAATGAGAGATCTGGCTGCCATTCCTGTTCAGAGAGAGACTTCCCTGAAAGCACAGAGCAGAGCAACACAAGGGCCTGTCGGTCCAAGTCAGGTGTTGCAGGAAGAGTTTATTGCGAAGTGTGGAGACACTTGCTGGATTTTTAAATTTGTTAATCTTGTATCCACCTGCCTTATTAAACCTGTCTTATTCTTACTAGTTTATCTGTGTGTTCTCCTGGGCTTCCTGGATAAATGTTGATGTTAAATGTAAACCGAATGCTCTGTGGATAACTTGAGTTCATTATAATTCATTTGATAGATACTTTTTTAACGTTTACTTATTTGCTTTGAGAGAAATAGCACAAGTCAGGGAGGAGCAGAGAGAGAGAGAGAGAGAGAGAGAGAGAGAGAGAGAGAATCCCAAGCAGGCTTCATACTGTCAGCTCAGAGCCTGATGTGGGGCTTGATCTCATGAACCATGAGATCATGACCTGAGCTGAAATCAAGAGTCAGTCACTTAACTGACTGAGCCACCTATGTGCCCACGATTACAGTGAATTTGTAACTTGATAATCCTGTTTCTCATTCTTTTCTTATCACCTTCTAATAATTGTATCTGCTTTATGCCACAGTCTTCACACATCAATAATCCTCCTTAATTCTGTTGAAGCAGATGAATCCATTAAGAATCTTGTCTTTTTCTCTTTATTCTTTGCATTTCCTTTCTAACTTTTAAGATCCTTTTCTTGCCTCTTTACTATCCTGACTCTTTTTTCCCCCTATTTCAGTAAACTTTCAGTCTCCTTCCCTAATTTCCTCCCAAACATTCGGAGTTTATTCCTCACAAATTAGAGGATGTTTGACTGTTGAAAAGTGATAACTTCACTGGTGTTCTTGCAATGGTGGAAGCTTCCCTGTCTGGCAGTCCACAAAGGCTGGCCCCTGGAGACCTGCAGTTGCATTCCAAACCCTTCTAAAAACAAAATGCATAGCAAGAATACCTCCCAGCAAATTAGAGTCCCTAGACAACTGCTCAAATCTCAGCTTTGAATTACCATCCAGTTAAGATGATTTGGGTAGGAGTCATGGGGTAAATGTGTCCCCAGATCTGTGTAAATAGAAAACCAAAGAAACCGTGAAACAAAAATTGGAAGGAAATCACACGTGAAACAAATTAGGGAGTGGTTTTAATCTGTACCAAGATGTGCATGAGTGTGTGTGTGTGTGTGTGTGTGTGTGTGTGTGTGTGTGTGTGTGGTTTGGTATGTTGGAGGTGGAGATGGGGGTAAAGGGTAAAGGGTCCTATGAGCTCTAATTACTTACCCAGACAAGTTCAGTGGAGATGCCCATTTGCCCTGTAACAGGTGCATCAAACCTGAAAGGTCCTTCCTGTTTCTGTGTTGCACCTGTAAGTGCAGAGGCCCAAGGTTCCCTGTGTAAATTTCTCAGACGATACTCCAATCTGAGATTTTCTAGCCTCATCCAAGAATCTGACCTGAGTTCCCTTCTGCTCTGGGCCCCTGGAATCCTCTCTTCTGATTCCTGGGGAATATTTTTTCTAGTCTCTTAGCCAAGCTCTTCCCTCTCAGAGACGTTCCACTTGTTTTCCCTCAAGACTTGAACAGTACACATTTTGACAGCTTAGTGAACCTAGAGTCAGGTTAAGCCGAGAATGTGGTAAGAGGCAGGATTGTCAATAGAAAAACTAGTTCCCCTTTTCTAAGGGAACTTGAGAATTTGATCTTTAAACCACTCTGGTAAGGAGGGGAAACAGAATAATAAAATTAGCAAGTAATGAGGAAGTACCACAAACCAGGTATTCTTGTATTTGTGTGGGTTAATTAGTCTAGAGAATGACTCTGTCAGGCCCATGCCATTATCATATTGTGGGATGAGCCTTACCTGGTCTAAGGGATTGTGGGCACAGCTCCTGGAACCATCTGGGAACTTTGTTCTTATTCTAGATCGCACTAGCCTGGGGCATATGAGGGGCTAGATGAAGAATTTATTCATGCCTAAGGTTACTGTATACTGTAGTCCTATCAGGTGCTAAGAAATTCCAAGATTAATGAGGTCCACCTGGCCCAGATAGCCAGAGTGGTTTGTGTGTGTGTGTGTCTGTGTGTGTGTGTGTGTGTCTGTGTGTGTGTGTGTGTCTGTGTGTGTGCACGCATGTGCAGAAAACTTCTGGCCTAAGAGAGTTCTGAGCCGGTTCTGTTTGATCTCATCAAGTGCAGGCAGGGGTCACCTCTCCACATCACCACTGCCACCACCTTCCTGGGTGTCTGGACCATGCCATAACTCAAGGGTTTATGAATGACCTGGCAGAGTAAACGCAGAGTAAGTTGGATGGGTTCCACCCGAATACCTCTCTTGCTGGGGAGTTAGGCTGATGTCTGGAGACAAGTAGAGTGTTCTCAGACTGTGTGTGTGTGTTGCCTTCTGGTTGGTTCTCTCGGCCAGGCACTCCAAGACTTCATCCACTCTCAGCCCAAGAGATCCTTTTCATTGCAAGGGTAGGACGTTTGCCTCATTTGCCATCATATCCTTTCCCGAAAGTACAGTTATTACGACATGTTCCCACTTCCCAGACTCCTTTCCTCTCACTTGACTTCTGTTCTGTTACCTCTTCCCTCCAGGACGGTGTGTTGACTCAATGGGCATAGATCCAAAGATTGCAGGAAATGCCAACAATTCCAAAATAAAAATACAGGCACATCAGAAAAACTTCAAACCATTTATCCTGATACATTTGTTAAAATTTCACAAACAGAGGTGCCTGGGTGGTTCATTCATTTGAGTGTTTGACTCTTGAATTTGGCTCAGGTCTTGACCCCAGGGTTGTGGAATCAAGCCCTGCCTCGGGCTCTGTGCTAACTGTGGTGCCTGCTTGGAATTCTCTCTCTCCCTCTTTCTATCTCTGCCCCTCTCCCCAACTTGTGTGCACTCTCTCTTTTTGAAAATAAAATAAAATGAAAAAAAACCTAAATTCACAAACAATATATTAAGAGTATAAAAACTCAAAGGATAAATTGAGTAAAATGCAATTTTTTCTTTATTCTTTTCCCACTATATTCATTCCAATCCTCAAAGTTAACATGATTAACCATTTGATATGCAAATTTTCGGACATTTTTCTACACATACACACTTTTTCACGTAGAGTATGAACTAAGTCCCCTCTAACTTGCTATGATTCTGTGATTTGCTCTCTCCTGTTGAGTCATCTGCTGATAAAGAAGTCCTTTCCATGGACAAATTTTCCAGTAGCTAATAGTTAACATCTGCTGAGTGCTTACTCTGTGTCAGGTACACTTCTCACTGCTTATATATAATTCTTACACACAGTTTCATGACATCCCCATCGAACAGGTACAGTTATAAACCCTCTGTAACAGATAAGGGCAGATGAGGCATGAATAACTTCTTCATCTACTTCTTTTTCTTTCATTTGCTCCAGAACTTACACAGGGGCCAGACAACTTGGCTGAGACTTTGGAGCAAGTCAAAATCCATTCCTTTAATCATTTTGCTTTATTGTCTCTATTTGGAAGAGTGGATGGTTTTGCCACTAAAACCTTTAAATATGTTAC